CTCTAACATATGTATCGGCGAGTAATGTAACCATTAATTGCATGTACATGGTGTTCCTACTGTCTAATAGGTGAGGATAGGTCCTAATCCCACCCGCAGATGTGTAGATGAGGTTAGTTTCCATGCTCTACTCCTATCCGAGACAGAATTTCGGCAGCACCTCCCCGCTGTTCTCCAGATACACGTCCTACCAAAGAAGAGTGTGTATCCGGAGAACAACAGGGAGGTGATGCCGAAAGTCTGTCTCGGACTAGAGCAGAACATGGAAACTAACCCATCTACGCATCCGCGGGCTGTCCAAAAAGCGTGGACAATCCGAAATAGATACGGTCATAGATATGCAAAGATCTGCATACCTCCAACCGTATCTCTTTCGAACGGGAGACGCCTAACTGGGTTACGCGATCTACGACAATGATATAAAAAGAGGGGTTATACCTAGGGTGGCGATGGAGTCAGGCTAGCGGGGCCGTGGCGGGTCGGTGCAGTGGCGAGACGACGCGGTGCAGGCAGACACACGGTGGCGAGAACTCCGACTCAACTCGACGGGCTCTTCTCTACAAAAATGGAACAAAATACTGTTATTTACAAAAAAAATCGGCAGAACCTCCCCTGCACGGTGAGGTTTCCAAAACCTGCAAAAAACAACGGCACGATGGCCGACAAGCACATATGGCTCAACAGAAGCCATGTAGTTTGGATATCAATCCATGTAGAAGAATATATCCAAGTAGTACCTCTACTTGTACTACTACTACCACTACTTCTACTACTACTACTACCACTAATTCTACTACTAATACTACCACTAGTTGTACTAATACTGCCACTAGTACAACTAATACTACTACAACTACCACTACCTCCACAATAATAAGTGAGAAGGCATACCTGACGGGCGACGGGGTAGGGGCGGGCGGCGTCGGGATCGGGCGGAGTCGGGGATGGGGTCGAGCACGGATGGCGTCAGGCGGTGGTCCACGGGCGCCGTGCCGAGGCGAGGCAAGGCGGAAAAAGCGCTGTCGGGCGCAGGCCGGCCGGGGGTCAAGGGCGGCGCAGGTTGGGGAGGGGCCGCAGGGCAGGCAGCGCCGGGCGGTGGGCGCGAAGCCGTGGAGGCGGGGCGGGCGTGGCTGGCGAGGCAATGAGGGCAGGCGGCGCGGGCGGCGGGGTGTATGCAGCGCAACGCGCGTGTGGCGGCGACGCTGGCGCGGGCAACGCGGCGGCGGTGGGCGGCAGGGCGTGGCAGGTGCATGGCCTTGGCGCGCAGGCGGCGCGGCGGGCGGTATGGCGCGCGCTGCGGTGTGCGCGGCAATGGCGGCGCGGCGGCGGCGGTAGGGCGCGGGGTGCGGCGCGGACGGAATGCGAGGCGGTGGCGCTATGGCAGCAAAGCGGCCGGGCGCGCGGCGCTGGGCGGCGGCGGGGCGGCGCGCGGGCGAAGGGGCGGGCGGCGTGCGCGGTTTGCTCGGCAAGGATCGCCCTGCCAGTCAAAAACCGGTGTCCGCGGCTTTGCCGAAAAGTGCTTGGATCGGGGAGGCACTTTCGGCAAAGATTTTTTTGTTTTTTTTTTTATTTTTTTTTGCCCCAGACCGCACTTTTCGCAAAATTCCCTATTTTTTAAATTCTTTGCCGAGCGTCGAAAGATCTGGCGCTCGGCAAAGAAAAAAAATTTTTTTTTTTAATACTTTGCCGAGTGCTCCTGAATGGCACTCGGAGGCAAAATTTAAAAATTTTTAATTATTTCTTTCACTTAGTGCTCACTATGCGCAATTTTCGGCAAAAAAAAATTAAAAAAAATTAAACATTCTTTTTAGATTGCTTAGAAATCTGCACATCGTGAAATCGATATCATGTGGAGATGTCCGTGTTTGTAAGCATCGACGTGACAACGTGTAATTTTTGTCTTCCTCAAATTTTTATCATAGCCTCCACATATGATATCACGACATCTCAACAAGTTTCATGATTTTTGACTTCGCTTTTTTTGTAGAATTTATAAACACTTCACACGCAATTTCTTGACATGTTTCGTGAACTAGATATCCGAAATTTCGGTCTGCTCTCGAATACGGAGTTTATAACATTGACTATTGACATGACTATCAATTTTCAATCATTAAACTCCATTATTCGAGATTAACGTGCAGCTTTGGATTTCTAATTTCCGAAAAATTCAAGTAAACGCGTGTAAAGTAACTAAATATAACAAAAAGCCACAAAAAATCTTCAAATTGTAACTAGAGTTCCCGGTGCTTTAAAAAGTCTGCATAAAAAAATTGAGGCTAAAACAAAAAAAAAATCTTTTTGCTTAAAACAGGGCATGGCACTCTAAGATCGAGATGTCTTTGCCGAGTGTGCCACCGTGCACTCGGCAAGAAGAATGTTTTAATTTTTTTTAAATTTTCTTCTTGCCGAGAGTGCATACACAGAGCACTCGCAAAGAAATAATTAAATAAAAATTTTAAATCTTTTGCCGAAAGTGCACTTGAGAGCACTCGCAAAGTATTTTAAAAATAAAAAAATTTTTTTGCCGAAGCGCCAGATCCGAGACGCCGCAAAGAATTTTAAAAAATAAAAAAAATCTTTGCCGAAGCGCCAGATTCAGGGGCACTCTGCAAAGAAATTAAAAAAAAAAATCTTTGCCGAGTGCCTAACCGCAGGTGCTCGGCAAAGAAGGACGTGGCACGGCGCCGTTTCACGGGCAGCCTATGCCGAGTGTATAGATTTTGCCGAGAGTTTGGCGCTCGGCAAAGAAGTCCTTTGCCGAGTGCCTGTGTTTGCCGAGTGCCCGGCGCTCGGCAAAGAAATCTTTGCCGAGTGTAATTCTTTGCCGAGTGCAGCACTCGGCAAAGAAGATCTTTGCCGAGTGTCCGATTTTTGACACTCGGCAAAGAAATTTACACTCGGCAAAGTCTCTGTTTCCAGTAGTGATACGAGGTAATACGGATTCGAACACTTATAACACTCACCTTCACAGACCAATTTTCTAAGTAGTTGTTTTAGCTCATGTCCGAGCTTTTATTTCGTTGTTTTCTAAACTAGTTGCTATAGTCGCTGAACAGGTCAAGCTACCTACATAAATGGATACTAGAAGAACCAGTGCACAGCAGCGTTATTGCTCGACCCTTTATACGATACGATCATGTGTAGCGTGCATAAGATTAATCTTATACTTCATCCGTTCTGAGTTATAAATCGTTTTAGCGTTTCTACACTAGGACCTATTAAAAATCAAAGGCCAAAACAACTTACAATTCAGAATTTAGAATGGAGAGAGTACAAATATAGATACTTGATAATTGGATACTCATAGTCATACCTTAGCTTTATTATTTAAGGTCATATTTGGCACTCATCCTCCATCAGCTTTAGGAGCTGTTTAGAGCTGTTTTATGACAAACAGAGCTCCACCTGAGGAGCTTATTAAAATGTGCTCTAACAAGGGGTGAATAAGAGATGAAGCTGGATATAGTAGCTTCTTCCAGCTCCCAAACACTTTGGTAAACTCTTTATGGGATTCTATGAGAGCATGTTTCAAGGAACTATACATTAGAGATGCTTTGCCAAACACTTCATCAAAATAGTTTTAGCTCCATAAATGGAGTTGCTCGTAGAACTGCGTGGAAAAAAAAAAGAGAAAATGTCTGGCTCAAATCCTTAAGAAATTAAAAAGGCAATCGGGTGGTCTGGCTGGATGCGTTAGTTTAGAAGCCCGAGCACCAATCTAGGGTCCTGATATCGGTTATCCGTTGGAGTCTGTATCCATGTGATTGTGATCTGGGAATATGCCAAATACTGTAGCTTTGAATTTTCTGTGGACTATTACACTTGGACTTGAGTGTACAGGAGATTTTAGACCGGGCTTAGTTACCTATAACTACAAATATTTTCGTGACTTCATCCAGATTGCTGACCTCATCGATTGATTTTACAAAAGAACTCCTATTATTATTTACAAGTAACAGTGATAAGGACTATGACTTGTGACTTCAATATGGAACCCTGAATGGGATAGTTACGTGCAAACGTTTCATGGCATCCGTCAGATTGCTGACCTCATATCTTCCGCACATCATGGATCCATAATATATTGTAATTTACATTTTACATTTTATTTTTTACTCTTTTTCGTTTCTTGAATTGTTGGCTATTTTTGTTGACCCTTCGAGAGGCAAACAGAAGCTATGAGCGATAATTTTTTTCTAAGGTATAAATGGATAGGCGCTTATTAGTTAATATAGGGAAGAGGCCTAAGCCCCAAAACCCAAAACTATAATTATAAGAAAAAACGAGTACGAGAGAAAAGAGCAAGGAAAACTAAGAACATATCCAAAAGTCTTTCTAATTAAAATTTATTCTCTAAATCATTATTTGTAGAGTTATTTAAGTAAAAAATCATTTTCTATATGTTTGTACCCTGCAACAACTTTTTCTTATGCGCACTCTAGAGAGTCATCATCGTTCTTTATCTTTAACTAGCGAGAAATCCGGAAGAGATAATGTTTATATTTAGAGATCAAATTAAATAGGCAGGTAGAGTGTATTTTCATCAAATCTCTATTCTTATAAACTAGGTAGGATATAAAGAATCTTTTTAGAGTTGCTTTAAACGCTCGAAGGATCTTCTTAAAAGTGTTTTGCGCCCATAGCGTCCCAAGTCATCACATCTTCATTTGCGAGGGTCGTCGTTTTCCCTTGGGAAGTGGGATTGTGGGAACAACGCAGTAGAACTTGAAGCCGCGTTAAATTAAACTCGTCGTAATTAGCTCGTGCGCTCAGTTAAACGCACTGTGTTTAGTCACACACACGTAAATAACGATGGAGCTAGCTCGGTTGGAGTTTTCACAAACCTTCAAAACTTGTATATATGCCCGTGCTGATCACTCGGCATTCATATCATCATATCAAGCAGAAAACTTAAGCGCGGTGCCAATTTTGCTTCTCCGAGCAACTATCAGAGCTAGATTATTGCAGCAGGAGCACACAGTTCATAGATGGCCACGATGACCAGGTTCGTTTTTCCTCTGATGATTGTAGTGCTGGTAATGCTGCTGGCATCGCCGGCGGGGTCGTCGGCGCGGCGGCTTGAAGGCGACACATGGGCCGGTGAGGTCGCCTCCGGTGACCATCCTGTCATACAGTCTATCAAAAACCTGTATCTGCAGCAACTGAGTGATAGTGGTGCAGGTCCCTCCTGCGAGAGTAATAACCCACACATTCCGCCATGCCGCCATCATGGTTGACTGAAGGCAAACGGGAGGCATATCTATGATGCTTGGCGCCACGATAGATGGACTTAATTAAAGTAGTACAAGTGTACAACTAAGTTTGTGTTGTGGTATTTACATGTGTGATAATAATCGCTAGGATGACAAATTACGATTTACTGTAAAATGTTTAATTTGGCTACTTTATTGTAAGTGTCCGAAACGTATGCTGTTCAGAATAAAGTGATTGGCTTGTTTGTGACGTAGATCCCTATATGTTGCTTAGCTTAAATACATCTGTCTGCTTTTTTTTTAATCACAATATAGCGTTGTTAAATCCTCGAATAAAATGCGACCGCCCATATAATCTTGAATCCGGATAGACAGCCCTCCCCTCCTCTCCCATCCCGAAACAACGAACCTAACTAGTTGAGCTGCGCTTAATTAGATCATTATCTACCTGATTTTTCATGTTCCATGCATGCATGGGAGTGAATGTGTCTAACAAATTTAAAACAAAATTAACCCTATGATCAACTTGGAGGAGGTGATCAATTAGCTGGTTGAGTCACATTTTTTTTCAAAAGCGTGCATTAGCACGTGCTTCATTAAGGAGAAGTAAGATTCGTACAACACCCGGGATTGCAATACGGTGAGATACCAATAGCAACCGACCGGTAGAAATACAAACACAAGGCAGCGGCTGCAACGGTAGAGCTAAACAGGTGTACTAATTTAAGAAACAAGTGTTGCGACTACGGAAGTTTGCCGGCAACGCCTGCTAGGAAGCCATGGCGGTCAGCGACGCGAGACTCCGAAAGCCAGCGGCGATCTAGGAGTCCGCCTCCTCTAGGATAAGCGCGAAAAATTGAGATGTCGTTCTTGCCTTGCAGGAGCGAGTCAAAGCTTTTTCTGAAAACCTTTGGTATGGCTGCCCTGGTTTGCTGCCACCAATCTGCCATGCAGGAGTCTCCGAGCGGCACGAGGTGTTGCAGCCCTGCCGTCCTCAGAAGTCGGTGCCAAACCTCTCGGGTGAAGACGCATGAGGCCAACCGTTAATTACCTCCTTCGTTTTATAGGACACCGTTAACCTTTTTTCCATTTGTTTGATTATTATCCGTTTTTCTATACATATTTGTGCAAACAAACAAACATGCAATTTAGTTTGGATATACATGTATTCATCTCAACCCATTTGCGTTGAAATTGTTTGGCATGAAATTTAGTTTAAATTCCATACCAAATTACTCGAACACACATGGATATCCAGTGTAGCTGGCTGCTGAGATCTTTAATTTGATCGATGCCTCGATCTCGTTGGAAACTTGGACTTGAATAGGAAATCTTGACCGGTCAGTTAGCTCCTTATATATTTCCTTCGGCCCTAAATAATTTAATTTTAAAAGTTATCTTAACTTATTTTTTTAAGTCTAACCAAATTTATAATAAAACATTATTAATATTTATATACAATATTCTTATAGTATGCTTATTTGAATGTTATAAATTTTGGTGCTACTTTGTATAAAATCAGTTAAAGTCAAAAAGTTTTACAAGACTATCAAAAACCTGTATCTGCAGCAACTGAGTGATAGTGGTGCAGGTCCCTCCTGCGAGAGTAATAACCCACACATTCCGCCATGCCGCCATCATGGTTGACTGAAGGCAAACGGGAGGCATATCTATGATGCTTGGCGCCACGATAGATGGACTTAATTAAAGTAGTACAAGTGTACAACTAAGTTTGTGTTGTGGTATTTACATGTGTGATAATAATCGCTAGGATGACAAATTACGATTTACTGTAAAATGTTTAATTTGGCTACTTTATTGTAAGTGTCCGAAACGTATGCTGTTCGGAATAAAGTGATTGGCTTGTTTGTGATGTAGATCCCTATATGTTGCTTAGCTTAAATACATTTGTCTACTTTTTTTGTGAATCACAATATAGCGCTGTTAAATCCTCGAATAAAATACGACCGCCCATACGGTGAGATACCAATAGCAACCAACCGGTAGAAATACAAACACAAGGCAGCGGCTGCAAGGTAGAGCTAAGGAGGTGTACTAACTTGCGACTAGGGAAGTTTGCCGGCAACGCCTGCTAGGAAGCCATGGCGGTTAGCGACGCGAGACTCCGAAAGCCAGCGGCGATCTAGGAGTCCACCTCCTCTAGGATAAGCGCGAACAATTGAGATGGCGTTCTTGCCTTGCTGTCAAACGTCCTCTTGCGTTCCTTCCATAGATTCCAAGTGGTGAGCAGCACGAGCGAGTCAAAGCTTTTTCTGAAAACCTTTGGTATGGCTGCCCTGGTTTGCTGCCACCAATCTGCCATGCAGGAGTCTCCGAGCGGCGCGAGGTGTTGCAGCCCTGCCGTCCTCAGAAGTCGGTGCCAAACCTCTCTGGTGAAGACGCATGAGGCCAACCGTTAATTACCTCCTTCGTTTTATAGGAACCGTTAACCTTTTTTCCATTTGTTTGATTATTAGCCGTTTTTCTATACATATTTGTGCAAACAAACAAACAAGCAATTTAGTTTGGATATACATGTATTCATCTCAACCAATGTGTGTTGAAATTGTTTGACGTGAAATTTAATTTAAATTCCATACCAAATTACTCGAACACACATGGACATCCAGTGTAGCTGACTGCTGAGATCTTTAATTTGATCGATGCCTCGATCTCGTTGGAAACTTGGACTTGAATAGGAAATCTTGACCGGTCAGTTAGCTCCTTATATATTTCCTTCTGCCCTAAATAATTTAATTTTAAAAGTTATCTTAACTTATTTTTAAGTCTAACCAAATTTATAATAAAACATTATTAATATTTATATACAATATTCTTATAGTATGCTTATTTGAATGTTATAAATTTTGGTGCTACTTTGTATAAAATCAGTTAAAGTCAAAAAGTTTTACAAGACTATCCTAGAGTTTGATTAATTTGTTGACGCGAGAGAGCTACTACTACGACCTTCCGTGATTCATCGTCAGATTGCCGACCTCGTGACTTTCAAAAGTTACTCTATTACTACACGGTGCATGCCATTTATACTAGAGCATATATTTCTTGATGAATCATCAGAAGCTAGCTAATTTATTTGCTAGTATCGGTACACGTCCTTACAGAGGAATAGGTACCACCTCCATCCAAAAAAAAAGGATGCAAGTCTATTTCTGTTTTAGTGAAACTATCTATTTTTTTATTAAATTTACAAAGATAATATTAATATTAATATTAATATTCTAGAAAAATCTGATAATTCTTATTTGATTATCATAAAAAATTGTTTTTTATGGACAAGTTAAACTATATATAGTTTGACTCAGTACTAGAACTGTAGATCGAGACTGGGCGTTTACTAGAGCATATAACGTACGGTAAGAGAGGGTATTCCCGATGTGTGAGTGTGTGACTGACTGATAGACTTTGACTTGGACAGGAAACTCTGACCGGTCTAGCTAGTCATGTCGCGTGCAAACGTTTCATGACTTCATCAGGTTGCTGATCTCATAAAGCAAATAGACAAAGTTAAATGCGTTTAAAAAGCCCCAGGTAACAATAAGAAAAGGCTTTCTTTTAATGGTCGGTAGGGAAGGGGAGCATACCACCTGAAATTCTCTTTTCTGGAAACTGTCTGATGATCAGTAAATAAGAAAACAAACCTGTCAAACTTGAAAGTAAGGATGAGGTACTTCCCTCAAACTTTCACTTTAACTTTGTTCAAGGGGATTACTAGCGCCCGGACGTCCAGACGGACGCCCACATCCGTACAAATTGTTGTGCTTGCGGAAGGGATTAATTGGCCGGCGGAAAAGTACAAGAAGCGCGAAAATTAATTGCCAGACGGAGCTTACCGTCCGAACGGCGGACCCTATCACGCCCCTTTCTCAGCGGGGGACGTTTTTGGGTGGATAAAAGTTGATGAATTAGTAGAGTAGATAGATAAGATTTTGTACATGGTCTAGATAAGCCTTCGTGACAAGCTCGTCAGCGGGCTCTCAAAATCCTAGGATCGGCGCTGCGCTTGAGGTGTGCATGCACGGTGGCATTGGTCACTGGACGATCGAGTACGTAGTCGCCTAGTCGGCAACGCGCGCCTGCTGAACCCTACGCCGGCCGGCATCCGGCCAAAACCTGAGATTGTAAGTTTTCCATTCTGAAGAGTGAAGACCGATCGACCGGCCGGTATGTATCCATGTAGAAGCAGAAACCCGCCCGCGTGAAAACGGCACCACAGCGCGTGCGTCCTCAGTCTACCGCAGTGTCGAGTCGTGCACGTCAGTCTTTGCATGGAAATTTCGCAGAGCTTTGAAAGCTCCTATATATACCCGTGCAGATTATATCAAGGTATAACTCAGAGAGGAAAACACACAAGGTTATACACTGCAGAAACCTACTACTAGCTAGCTACGCTGAAACTGTGTGCCAGCTTGCGTTGTAAGGATGGCCACGTCGATCAGTAGGTGGTCATTCGTTTTGCCACTGCTGATCGCGGTGCTGTTGCTGTTGGCGGTGTCAGGGTCGACGGCACGGCAGCTGGACCTGGACGGCGGCGGCGATCGATCCACATCCACCGGCGGCGAGTCCGCCTTCGGCGTCGGCCGTCCTATCATACAGATCATGAAACGCCTGTACCTGCAGCAACTGGCACAACCAGTGGCATCCTGCAGTACCTACGACCCAAACAACCCAAACTGCCCCCACAACCCCTAGACAATTCGACGGTGCACACCAAACACGGCAAATCAAGAAATGGGCTGATCTTGCATAAATATACGTCAGCTTTCATACTTTCTCCTTCTCTCTGTCATCGTGATGATATATTCGGAACTCAGGTAGAACGACAATGTGATGGGTCTAATAAGTTTAGTATTTGATAATTCAGTTTAGTGTTGGTGAATTGTCTTTGTCAGGCTTGTTTGTAAATTAGATATGTGTTATGTGTACAATGTGATGGATCCTCACCACTTTTATAGTAGCACATGTATCATAAATATGTATTCACTTTATCATAAATTAATAAAAAC